CATGGCCGTGGGCTATGCTACATTGAAAGGGAGAAAGGAAGTTGAAGGAGAGATACACCTTCCTCTCCAGCAGCCCAGCTTCATGCAGTTCCAGATGCTTCAAAGGAATGTATAAGAGCATTGGTGTCTAAATGTCTGGCTGTGCTGTATAGCAAAACCCCTCCTTCTCTCTGCTGCAGTTATTTCTATTTCTGGTGGTGTGGTAGTGTCAATCACAGACTCTGGATACTAGATAAGAAGTTGTGCTCCAAACTGGAAAGGTTAAACTTTGATGTAAGTGGCAAATGAAGAAGAGTTGGAAACACCAGTAGGGACAGAGGACTTAGTGTTTGAGGAAATTAGAAAGCCAGGATGAGCAGGGAAAAATATAGGATTAGACAGGGAAGTCTGGTGGGTATTCTGAATATGCCAAAGATCACTTGCAGCTTGTTTCGAAGGTGTGGAGGAAGGAGTGATTCTGAGTGACGATAGGCCACAAATTTAACGTGCGTAACGAAATATGGTAGACAGACAGCAGGGACACATCATGCCCTGAAAGTGAGAAATGACAGTCTCCTGCTATAGGAATGCTTTTCTTCTGCTTTAGTCATGTCCGTGCGTCTTTTTTTTTTTTTTTTTTCCTGGGAGTTCTACCAAAACCAGAAGAATGACAAAACCCTGAAGAAAATAGGAGGCTTATCACATTTATAGTGGTTACAGGCAGCATTATAGACTGTAGTGCTTGAAGTGGAGAGCTGTGGTTTGAAGTAGAAAAGCTGTAACGCAGATGTTGATAGGAATTAGTCTGAATACCAAAGAGAAAACATGGCAGGATACAATCACTCGAAGATCAAAACTGATACTCTTCCCTACATTTCCTCTCCCTGCTTGCTGTGACAGAGATGGGAGGCTACAATCTCTAATGCTCTTGCAGCCCACCTGCAAAAAAGAACAATAGGGCACCATCCAAGTGAATGCAGGCTTTCTATCCTGTGAGATTTTTAGGCCCACACCATGGGAATTCAACCCTCCTAAGGAAGGACGGGAAGGTGCTGATGTATAACAGCTTGAATGAGACTCACCAGGATGCCCTTGTGGCAAAGGCGAGCTTGCGTGCCAGGCTGTATGAACAAGCATGTAGCCATTAGGTTAAGGGAAGTAGTTATTCCCGTAGATGTGGCATTTGTGATCCAAGCTTTCCCTGCCTCGAGCAGCAGGTTGGATAACATGGCCTCCAAAGGTGCCTTCCAACCTGAATCATCCAGTGAATCAATGAAGTGGAAAGCCTTGTCACCCGTTACAGAGCTGGGTGAGAGAAGACTGGCCTCACCCAAGCTCTCCTCTCGTCTCTCCATAGGTCCAGGCCATGCATGATTACACGGCCACTGACAGCGACGAGCTGCAGCTGAAGGCTGGGGATGTGGTGCTTGTGATTCCATTTGAGAACCCTGAGGAGCAGGTGAGTGGGGAAGACGGGGTGTGAGCCGGGGCCGGGAGGAGCCAAGGGGATTTCCAGAGCTGCTTCTTCCTCCACTAACAGTCGGCTGGCTGGATGCAGAGCCATCAGTTTGTGTCTGGGAGCTGGCGGGAGAGCCGGTTGTCCTTGAGCTTGAGATTGGCTTCCTGCAACAGAGGGGAGGACTCTGCTTGTGATTGGAAAGTGGAGACATTATCCTGCATAAAGCATGTGAAATAGCTGCGGCTTCCTGTCCCTATCAGGGCATTTTAGCCAATGCAATGGCTTCCTTGATCAGGGAGCCCGACAGAGCCCGCACTTCGCCTCCTCACTGCTCCTAAATTTGATGCACATTCCCTGTGACCACTGCAGTGCAGTGGCATTGGCAGGAGTGACCCACAGCTTATGGTGATGTTTTCTTCCCTTTTGAGAAATGCTGGAGCTCTGAGAAAGCAGCTTTCTGTGGATGATGTCCTGCACTTCAGCATAGCAATGGCTATTTCCAAAAGTCAGTGTTTGGTCAGGAGATGGCAGCAGAATCAAAGGCTGGAGCAGGTTGCTCAGTCCCAGAGAACAGTCTTACTGTTCATCTCCAACCTGAATTTAATTGGCGATGTTTTTCTTTAATCTGAGCTATTTCTAGAAGCCTAGAGTAAATCCTCCTCACTTGCTGTGTTTGAGGGCTTCCAGCTGATAGTCTGCAGCAGCTTTACTACTTTGGCTGAGGGAGGTGGTGATTTTATAAAATTCATGCTCAAGTCTCTAGGTTTTTGTCTGGAAAAGGAAGGGAATTCTCCAAACTGATTCAGTAGTCACCAGCTCTTTGGGTTTGGCCAAGCCCAGACAAGATCTGGATTCCACAAGGGGTAAAGGGAAGGTGAAGTAGTTCACTGGCCACAGAAGATGTGGATCCTCTTTGTGGCTCAGCTGTTGGCTTTGTGAATTATGGAGGCAGATCTTGCTGGTGCTTGTGAAATGGGAGCTATAATGTGCTGGCAGTTCCCGCAGAGCTAGATGCTCTGGCGGGAAGGGTTGAATGGGGAAGAGGCAGCAAATCCTTCCGGAGACAAGACTCTTCACTGAGTGGGACTGCCCTGCACAAGCATTTGTGAGCATTTCTTTCTCAGAAAGGTTTCTGGATGGGAAATGAGTGGCAGCTCCCCTAGTTTCTGTGGTAGGAGATGATGTTTGTGGAGCAGAGTTTTTCAATGCCCTATGTTTGCACTCTAGCTGGATGTGGGTGCAACAGCCATGAACTCGAGACTCTCCAAGCTGCAGAGGGTGAGCTCTGAGTGTTGCTAACATGATGCTGTAGCTGCACTGAAGCCCTCTAACCCTCCTACAGTGTATCCTGTGCTACAGCTCATTTCCTTAACCTTGACCGTACCCAGCCAGAAAATGTTGGCTGTTAACATGTGCATGAACTGTGCACGTGAGTGGAGGAAGCTTAGGATAATAGACTCTGATCTATGTCCCCATCTTGCAGCTTAGGTGTCTTGTGTTTGTGGGTACCTCAGCCAGGCCTGGATTTCTCTCTCTTGATGGAAGAAAGGGTTGAGGGCAGCAACGCTTCTAAGCTGGCACTTCAAGTGATGTGGTTCAAAATTGGCAAGGGTCAATCTGGGTCCTCGTGTCTAATCCCTACAGCTGAGGAGACCCTTCATAGCAGGATGCAGTGGGAGTGATGCATGCTGTATGGCACAGACACTATGTGCAAATGGATGAGCTTTTGTGCTTGCTGTGCTGTGAGCTGGAAGCTGCCTTCCAGATACTTGGGCCCAGCGTCTTCCGCCTAGTTATTTCTCTTCCTGATTTATGGCATGTCAGTCCTTCCGTAGCCCCTGCAGGTGGCTACTGCAGATGGGCTCCCATCTCATGCCATTCCCATGACATCCCCTGAATGCTCAAATCTAAGGCAGTAACAAGGGCTAACTGAGCCCGCAGCCACCCAGTACAGCCTGCAAGGAAGCAGGGAACTCGGATACAATGGCTGGTCTGAGCTGCTGCAACATGAAATGTGCAGAAAACAGGACAAGAGGGCAGAAGCTGCAAAATGGCAGTGGAAAACAATATGTGCCCCATGGATCACCCCTGGTGAGGGCTGCATCACTCCTGCACTGTGCAGGTATGTTTTTAAAGAACATGTTTCAAGGGAGGCATTGCTTGGCCTTGGGTAAATACCCAGGTAACTCCTGCCAGTTCCAGGAAAGCAGAAGTGTCAGAACAACTGTGTGAACCACACGCATGCACGCCCCATTTCTCCACAGCTTAGAGCATCTGGTTGCCTGAGCACTTCTGCCCTGGCAAGTTATGTAGTTGAATGTGATAACATATCTCTAAATGAGCCTGGTGCATGCTTTGCCCAGAGGAGTGGATGCAGAGCAGGCTGTTGAGTTTGGAGGCAGCAGTCCCCCGTGCAGCTCTCTTGCCTTATGCTGCAGTCTTAACCTATAGGCTGCCCCACTGCAAATAACTCACGTGAGTGGGTATATTTGCATGCTGAAGGGGTGCTTCCATGGTGGCAGCTCCAAGGCATGCAGAGAATAGGGTGGTTGCACGCCTGAGCTGCAAGCAGTGCAGCCTTCCCACCTTGAATATCTTGTCTCCCTCATGCTTCAGATGAAGCAGAAATCTTGATGCTAGACACCCTGCAGGCAGAGGGTGGGAAGTCTGGTTCTCCTCCTGAGCAGGTTCTACCAGGCCGGACTCCATCTGCCTCAGTGAAAATTCATCCCTGTTTATAGATGTATAGGTTTGGTGGCTAGGTAGGACCCCTGGGAGACACCTTGAGTCTTACATCATGTGTAGCACAAGCTTGGGAGTTTTGCCAACCTCACCTTGCATCAAGCCCAACAGACTGCTGGGTTTTGGGAAGATGGGTTGAGCTCCTCAGCTCCCAATTCTCATAGACCAGAATTTCAGCATAGCAAACAAGACTCATTTTGCCTGTACCACCTCTCTAAAATGCTAATCATCCAAGTGCCGTGACTGGAGCAGGGGATGAGCACCTCCAGGGAATGATTCATCCTTTCCAAAGACCTGTGCCCAAGATGAATGGGATGAATTGCACTGTGGAGGTGCCTGTCTCTTTTAAGACTTATGGAGAATGCTAGACTCCTTATGTTTAGATTGTGAAAGGTGAGATAGGTGATTTCCATTCTGTAGCTCTAGAGACTCTTTGGCACAATTTCTCCTGCTTCAGTGGGTGTAAATTATGACATGTTTCTATTACGCTTGCTATTTGTTTACACTTTCACTGTCTCTAGACACTCTGGGTCAGATAGGAGTTTTGGTACCAACTCTGGTGAGATGTAGCCTTCTCCCTGTTTAAAAGGGAACGAAAGCATTTTTTTCATCCTCCCCCATCCTCTTCCTGGATTGTCTCCAAGCCAAATATGAGCATGCCTTTTATAATGCCTTGACACCTCCTTGGCCTGCACTCTGTAAGAAAAATCTCCGCTCACATCTACCCCTCAGCATCTGATCTCTGTCTTCTCCTCCAGGACGAAGGATGGCTGATGGGTGTGAAGGAGTCTGACTGGATCCAGCATAAGGAACTTGACCACTGCCGAGGGGTTTTCCCAGAGAATTTCACAGAGCGAGTGCAGTGAAAGCCCAAGCCCACCAGCCACATTTCTGCTGGAAGAAAGTAAATATTCTGGTAGATAATTGAAAAAGAACGGCGAAATGAAAAGAAGAGAGAATTTTAAAGGAACAGAAGCCTGAAAAAAGTCAACTTAAAGGTTGTGTTCTTCTCAAAGGGCAAGGTTTCAGAAGTAAATTGAAATTCAAAGTGTTATCAAAATATATACAACTAATAATAATAAGGCAAGTCAAATACCCTCTTCCCCCTTTGGTTTTAACAGCATTTGGATTCAGAGGACTCATGCAGAAGCAACTCGGTGTGGTTCTCTAAATACTGCATTGACTGAATTGGCGAGATGTCAGTCTGATCCCTGGAAAGGCAGTATTTGTCTAATGGCTTGAGAGTAGAAGCTGCATTTGCTCTTGGGCGGGTTCATCTGTTTTGTCTTGAAGGTGGCTTGCATGGCAACTGTAAAAATTCAGCCTTCCCTACATGTTCAACCTACAGTAGGCCAAACTTTCTGTTATGCTGTTGAAAAAAATATTTAGTGTACAGCGTTCACCAATACAATGTATGTGTGTGCGTGTGTGTATTTTATTTTCTTCCTTTAAAACAATGTTACACAAACTGTGATTTTGTACATGTAAAGATAGAAGAAACTACATGGAAAGGGCATGGAGAAGATGAAATGTGTGAAGCTGTGCTCGGTCCAAAGTTCTTTCAAATGCAGACACCTAAATTCTCGCAGTAGTATTGGCCTGTGAAACGCTAACGGGAATGGACAAATTCAGGAGGAGAAACAAGACAAAACAAGCAGATGCCATTTAGATAGCTCTGAAATTTATGAGAGGGAATCCTCTGCCCCCAAAACCCTGTAGGCGGTTTCAGAAAAGCTTAGATTCATGTAGATGGAAGATAGCTCTAAAATCTGGCTGGTTAGAAAATTTGCTTTTAAAGAAAGAGATAAGGGAAGAAAAATCTTTTTTCTGAAAGAATGTCTAAGAAAAAACACCAAGGAAAAAACAATTTGCTTTGTGTTTTTAATTGGCATTGTTGTTTGTGGAACTGTATTTCTTATTTTCCTTTGAAGAGTTCTGTAAGTGAAATATTGTTAGATCAGCTTTCTCCAGTGCTGTGCTGGTGATCAAGTTAACCTCTATGAAAACTGGACCCTTGAAATACTCATTTAAAATGGCTGCATGATTTCATGATATTTTAATGTATTAGAAAGGAAAGCAAGAATATCAAAGTGTCAGTGTCAAGAAGACACTCTGCAGTCTAATACTGATGCTGAGAGCTTTCCTATACCTTTCCTTTGCTCCTGTTTGTTTTTGAGTTTTGTTTTTTAGTTTAAACAAGCAGATGACAAGGCTGTTTCAAAGTGCATATTACAGTTGTTAAAATAAGCCAGTCTGACCCTCCAAGTCCCACAAAGGTACTTTAAACTTTACTTGAATACTGATGCAGCTGGCAGGCAGGTCGGGTTATCATCATTTTTTATGGTTACCCCTCCCCCTATGATCTTTTTGCCTTGAAGGGACTTTTAACAGTGTTACCTCCTGCTGTAAAGGGACAGGATCACTCTCGGAAACAATCTTCCTAACTGTTAGGAGCTGGCTTTTGTCAAGGGTGCACGGAATGCTGACACACACTACTGAAAATCCCACCTTTTCCAATCTGTTTTGATTATTTGTAGGACAACAGAAAAAAAACTGTAGGGCAAAAGTGGATTTTTTTTTTTTTAATTTTAGTTCAGAGGGACAGATGAGATTTTGATTAGAAAATATATTCTTAATAAACGCAAGAATTGCTGGAGTTCCTCCTGCTTTCAGCTTGGGAGATGATATGTGCTAGTTATTTACAGCAATGTAACAGGCATCAAAATCTGTCCTATATACCCAAATCCCTTCTCTTCTTTTTTTTTTTTTTTAAATAAACGTGCAGGAATATATATTTTACATCACTGTTACAAAACCCAATAGTACTTAGGAGTAACTGCTCACAATACGGAAGGACTGGACTCCACAAGTTATAGTATGGTGAGCTGTTGCTTTAGAATATTGCCCTGTTTGATTATTTTTTTCTTTTTCACTGGGGTTGTCTTTCTTATTACTCTTTTTTTCCAAAATATCTATTTTTATGCATTTGTGACTCCCATTACTCCTTTAAAGAACATTCATAGAAAAAATATACATTTAAATATACATAGAAATATATATATTAAAAAGCGGGTTGATCCAATTAACATAATGCTGTCAGCTTAAAATGTTTATTTTTATGCAAAACCTGTGGATTATTGTTTTTTTTTAAAAAAAGACAAGATTCTAAGTACCAGAGCTGTGATTTTTGTCTTGCAAGTAATTGTTCTAGAGCATTTAGAAAGCTGTGCTGATACCTAATTTATTGTGGTTTTTTTGCTGTTGTTGTTGTTGTCTTCTGCTGTGTTTGAACCAGATGACTGTCCCGACAAAGATCCTCATAAGGCCTTTTCATTTTATTGAGCTTGCAAAGCAACTATCCAGTACTGTATTGTCCCTGCAGAAGTGGTAACTCTGCAAAAAAGGGATGTTGTTTTTGGGTCACATGAGTGATGCTCAAATGTTGCTAGTGGGGAGGACGTTGCGTCTCTCTCCATTTGCTTCCCCCCAGCCCCCAAAACCCTTTGCTTAGAGCAGGTGGGGTGGGTTACCTGGATCTTGCATTGCTCACAAATAAGTGGTGTCAGCACATCTCAGTCAAATGCAGGATCGGACCCACAGTTTATAAATTGCCTTATATGAGAGTAGGATGGCATAGCAGGAAGCTTGTAGGTGGCAATGTTTTTTGGAGCTAGATCTCTTATCTCCCGGGTCATGTTCAGCCCATTGTAAACAGCCACAACTCCTCCCATTTTCAGTATTTTTACATCTGTTAAATGCCTTGATTCTGGTTGGTATTACCTGGTGAAATGAACTTCCCATTTTCTTTGGCTTAGGACTGATCCAAATAGAAAGAGGGACAGTAAACTCCCAAGTAGGCTGTGCCCACAGTGGTTTTTCAGTTTGCGGGCTGAACTGAAAAATCTGGGGGGAAAAAAGTTGTAAGGGTGACCTGAGACAATTTTTTTAAATTTATTTTCTCAGTGGAATGAAGAAGGGAAAAATCAAAACAAACAAACAAAAATCCTTTCAAACCAAAAGGAAGCATTCATTTGTAGGGTTGCTTTTTCACTTTTTTTTTTAAAAACATTATGACTTGGGCTATAACAAGTTGCTTTGAAGCAAAAATGTGAAACCTTCTGTTTTGAAAATGCTGAAAGAAAATGTTTTAATGTTAATAGTCTTTTTGCCTTTGCCTTTTTTTCTTCTAATCTGATGACTGGTTTCAGTTAACACTAAACTGCATTTTTTGGTGAATACATTATCCACTGAAGAGAACCCAAAGAAGCCTATTGCCCAGTTCTGCTCCACTGACAGGTACACTGGACACATTTCAGGGATTACCTGGTATCTGGCCCAGCAAAGCTGCTGTTTCCCCATCTAATAATATTCCACTTGATAGTTTTACTGGTTGAACAATAAAAGCATCTCTCATCCCATGCCATTGACTGGTTTTGTAGCCTGGCTTAGAAAGACATTCTTGCTCTATCTGTCTCAGTTTGGTCACAGATTTATGACTATAGATTTATGATGCTACTCCAATTTGAGCCTAATCCCATTGCGCGGTGGGAATTATCATTTGCCCAACTGGTAAGAAAGAAATAAGGCATGGCTTTTTCTCCCTTTTTTCTATCTTAGCAATGTCAGTAATACACCTTTATTAGATAGAATTAGGGAAAGGTCCCAAGGTAAAGATGAATGCATTATTCCAGGCGAGACTCCCGCATACTCTGTGCTACTTTCCATGGGCACTCCTCAGCTGTCGGCTTTTACCACCTTTGCGTTTCTTGGCTGTGACGGTGATGCAGTAAAAGGGATTGTGCAGGCTTCGTTCCAGCTGTTCAGAGCTAGTCCTGCTTTGTGATCTGTTTGCCACAATCCTTGAAGCTTTGTTAACAGTTGCAGAACCCTTTCCTGTCCTGCGATCCAAAGACTGTGGCCAAGGCAAACACCCCCAAGTCAAAGGGGTCTCTCTTTTATGACGTGGAGCAGGTGTGAGGGCTCCATCTTCTGCCTGGAATTGGGGTGTCAGCTCAGTTAAGTTTTGCAACAGCCTCTTGAAGGGAAAAGGCCCAAGGCTAAGGAGATGCAGGGGGAGGATGGAGGGATGATACATTATCTTTTCCATTTTGGGTTGGTGCGCTGACTGCCTCACCTCTTGGTTCCAGGGAGGTCCAGAACCTCTTTATTTAGGGCTGAGAACAAAATGTTGAGTGGTCAAGATCTGCATGGTCAATACGATAGCAGGTGTCTCTCTCCTGCAAAGGACACAGAGTTCAGAGTTTCCTCTTTCCTGCTCTGTGCCAGAGAGATTGAATGCTCTCTGCCACTATCATAGATGTTTTGGATGCTGTGCAGTCCATACCCCAAAATAGTGAGTGTCCTTTGCTGGAGGATGCAGAGGTGTCTCTCTCAGACCCTTCTAGGAAGAGCTACCGATCTTCGACAGACAAGGCCTGTATGCTTCTAACACAGTAGCCTCTGGTTTCAGTAGCCTCTGTGTCTTTCAGCATCTGGCCCCATTCTCCAGCTCCTCCTGCTTCCCAGCCTCTCCATGCTCTTTGAGGATGATGGTAGCATAGGGTACTTCCCACCAGCCTGAAGTGCAAAGCTAGAAGATGCACAAACATGTCCATCAGCAAATCCTACGCAGTGCAGCTTGATAATGCTGGTATCAGGAAAACAAGCAACAGCTTTTCTTCTCTGGGCTGCCAAAGGGAAGCTCTTCCTTGCCACGCAGGTACCATCACACCTGGCATTGGTGCAGACACCTCTCTGCTTGCATGCTCTGGTTTAGATATTTCTGAGTAGCAAACTCCTGATGGAAAGGGGTCCTGTGGTGCCCAGAGCTGGGTTGTGCCACCAGCCCTTGCGAAGCTTGGGGTCTGTAGCTGACACGTGGGGGCTGAGAATTAGAAGGCCGTTTCAGAAATTTTATGAAACTAAATGGAGAAGCTACAGCTGTGAAGACTGGTCTGTATGAACTTGTACTTTGATGTGTCGTATGGCTATAATTCCTTCACCTGTTTTTACAGCGTATTCTGCTAATCCTGTCCCTAGTCTACATTTCATGTAGATGGTCCCTACTTGAAACTTGCCAGATGCAGTCCTGGGCTTATTGCTTCTCTTTAACTGAATCAAATGGCAATGACTTTGGCAATGTATTGGCAATCTCTTTTCCTTCTGTTAATTCAGTCTCTGAGTTTAACCACAATGATCTGAGAAATGTTTGGATTTTGAGTGTTTTTTTAATTATTTTAATTCTTGTTTTGTTTAAACAAAGCTGAACAATTCCCATTGTATTCTGAGCTGTGACACCCAGTTCCAGTGACAAGTACTAGATGGATTTGTCCCATTTTTTTTCTTGGCAATGTTCAGAAATATAATTTGTGTCATCCTAAGTCCTGCGTCAGTTTTTTTCTTTCTCTCTCTCTGTCTCATTTTTATATTAAGAAGTTGAAACAATTCAGGACTTCTTTCTCATCAGAAAGTTGAGTAGCTTCAAAGAGGCTTGGTTTGTCCAGGCACCATAAACACTGGGAGTTCTTACAAACACATGGGATGGAGAGGGCAATGCTGGTCCTTCCCTGAACAAGTACAACAGCAGAATAAACTCTTCTAGCAGCCGTCTCCATTCTGGTCTGTTGTGAGGACCTGACACCAAACGAATGCAATGTATGGAAGGATTTGAGACCTTTGCTTTTTAATAGCTACTAACCCCATGGTGGTGTGATCTTCATCCTCTAAGGCAAGTTTGTTGATGGGAGTATGACACCGCATGGGCGCCCTGCCTCATCTGGCCAAACATCTCCCAGCTCCCTTTGGCCTGTTGGCACACCTGCGTGAGCTCTTAGTTTCCACGCTGGCTTTGGGGATCTGCTTGTTAATGGGGTGTTGTCTTCACCTGTAGAAAGGGGTTGTTTCTGCCCTTCAACCAGAGTGATTTGGGACCCATGAGGAACAGGATTAGAGGGATTCACAGTTTATAGCTGACTATTTGGGGGTCACTCCCTCAGATGCGTCATTCCAGACAGGCTCGGCGCAGCTGCACATGGGACACGGTGTGTAAATAGCAAGCGCTGGCCAAAGGTTGGAATATGGTCCAATGCAAATCGGTGCCAATTAGCACTTTGATGAATGGACTGCCAGAGTCCTCTGCTTTAGCATGTGGATGTGCAAGCCTCAGAGCCAGTGTGGGGAGCTGGCCAGACTGTGCTTGCACGGTTCCTTCGTTTCCAGATGGCCCGGAACGTTTAGTGCCTTTTAGCCTCACCTCTGTGGCACTGGGATGGACCTGAATCAAATCTTGCGGCAGAGGGAGGGGAAGAGGCAGGCTGTGCCCCAGAAACTATTGCTGCAGTTGGTGACTTGGCCTCTGCCTTGGCTTGGCATGATGGCTCCTGCCAGGCTGAGCCGAGCCAGCTCTGCTGGGGCTGGGAGCTTGCAGGGCAGGAGCGAAACCCTGGGGCATGGGGGCTCTGTGCATGCCTTCTGTTTGCTCTTCCTCATGCAGTTTCATTCCCGTCACCCAGAAATATAAAGAAAACAGGGGAGGGGAGAAGGCGGCCGAGGGGGAGCAGTGTGCATAATTCACTGTCAGATGCCTCTGCTCAGCTGCATAATTAATTCCCAGTGATGATGTCGTCTTGCTCCAAACAAGCGGCACTTGGGCTCATAGGCCATGTGCAGGCTGTGGCCACGTGAGCCCTGGCAGCACGTTTGGAACAGGAACAGGCCCCTGGGTCCGGCCCTGGGAGCCCTCACCATGCTGCAGGGAGAGCTGGGCTTCACTCTGGGAACACAGCTGGAGAAGGAAGCCTCTATAGATGGAGGAGGCACATGCGACACCAGGTGAGGCCAGGGTGCCTGGAAGTGGGCAAGGATCATGCTGCAGAGGACTGGCATTGACTGGTGTCAGTCGCTCCACGGCATCCCCACGTGAAGGGAGAAGTCGGTACCAGGGCTGTCCTTCAGTGGCAGCCCACGCTGGCTGGGAAGACCCCATGGCAGGGGGTTTGAGCCCCAGAGTGGAGCTGGGAGTCACTCTGCAACACTGAGGAGGAGAAGGTGGGAGCTTGGGGCAGCTTTCAGCAATTTCTCCTGTTTGCTGGCTGGGTGAAGCCGGTGCCCTTTGCAGAGCAGGATTGCTGCTTCAGCAGGTGGAGGAGCCTCTGCCGCCCGTCTGCCGCACGGCCCAATCCACAGAGCCATTAATAACAGTGTGGGAACAGGAATTCAGCAAGTGCCCGTGATTAGTTGGCTCATCATGGGCAGTTAATGGCCAGCCTGCTCTCCTTGGCCCTGTGGTGCAGGTAATGGAGTAGGCATCACTTCTCACTGGGCAAGGCGTAGCCCTCTTGCCAGGAGCAATGGGCAGAATTTGCAAGCTGTTTTGATGCACTGCTGGTAGGTATTTGGTGAGATTGTTTTTTTCAGATGCTGGGGGGATAGATCTGTAAGGGAACTTGCGAGTTATTAGAGCCAGGTGCCCAACTTTCTGGTAGGGGCCCAATCTAATATCAGCTTTTCTTTTCCTAGCAGTGGCGTTATCCCATGTCTTGCCCGCATTTGGGAGCGCTCCCTTTTACTGAGGCTGAGTGAATTCTTCACATGTACTCTGCTTGTCTCAGCACTTTCTCATGAATTAATATATAGAAATTCAGGTACCACCTATGCTGCATCAGGCATGGGGGGGTGGGGGTGGGGGGTGACAGAGCCATGCAGTAACAAGGACATGCAAGCAAGGCTGTTTTTTGAAATCTAAGCAGGATAAAATGATCTGCTCCACAGGCGACCCTGCCAGGCAGGGGGCTGAGCTCCACTGAGTGCAGGTCACTGCATCTATCCCAGCTGCTTTGCAATAAGGTAGGAGAAAGAAGAGCTCTAGCAGGAGTGCAAGGTATTAAAATTAAATTGCACACATTCATGTCACTTCGTCAGCATGACACAGTCCAAGGTGTGAAATGAATGTGATGGGACCGGGGCTGCTGCTGCATCTGTAAGAGAAGCAGTGCAAGCTTGTTATCCTGTGTCCTAAAGGGGATCGTGTTCCCCTTTAGGGCACCTTCTGTGACTGCCACAATGTTGGCTATTACAGCAGAAGTCAAGCGTGTTCAGAAACCCCTGTGCTGCAGACTGTAATTTCTCCTATCTCCAATTCAGAGATCTGTGAGAGCCTCCTGGAGTGACTTCCCCTCTCTAATGTCCAGGATTGCCACTGTACATCTCTATTAGGGGCTTCCAGGAGAGACCTGACTATTGATTTTTGCAGAATGTGCTGCATTTGCTGTTGAAGGCGATGCTGTGGTTAGGTGTGCAGCGATCCAGCCACATGGAGGCACTCGTGAAATCTGCGAATGCCTTACCTCAGTACAAACATCCTGAATGTCTGATGAACACCTCCTGTATGCAAGACTTCTAGCCCCTCTAAGGAAATCTGAGGAAAGCTCATACTGAGAACCTCTGTGCTGGGAGCAGGCAGGGTGTTTTAGCAGCCGGGCCATGGCTTTGCTCTTGCTGATCACATGAAGGATCACATTAGCCAGATCACATTAGCTTTCAGCCCTCTAAGAGGTTTCCCCGTAACCCACACCAGAGGCTGGCTTTGCTCCTCTGTGACAAGTGGCCACCTTCCTAAATCCTCAGCAAGTTGCTTTTGGAGCCATCTTGTGAAGTCTCATGCTCATCTTCTGCCTCCCAAGCCCTCTTTCCCATGGGCAGGCACGTCAGGGATGGCTGTAATCCTGCTCCACAGGGGTAGTGATGTACCAGATCAGGAGGACGGGTATCTTATTTTGCTTTTCCCTCCCCTATCTGGCAGCTCCCAGCATTGCTCGCTGTGGCTCAGGCTTTCTGCTGTTCTGTGAAGCGGACATTGTTGCTCTTTCCCATATGACACAGATGTTTTTGCAGGAGTGTAAATTATTCCCATCCAGTAACTTTATGAAACACTCTTCCTCCACACAGTGAAGAAAAGTGCAACTGAAGTTGGTAATTAAATGTTTACTGTTAAGTACTTTATATATTATATACTATAGATCATTCCATCCATTAAACAAACCATTTAACTCCCCTTAACAGCATTATTGTCTATTATTAGGTTAATCAGCATTCACATCCTGTAACTCTGCATTTCTATCTAATTAGCCTTTCTTTCTTTCTTCATATTTCTATTTAATTAAGCTCAGCATCAGAGCTGAATTCCATGTACTCAGCACTAGGAGAGGACTTGATCCTTTCAATACCCAGGGGGCTGAGGGGCACAAGTTTTAAGCAGTCTCCTTGGATATCTGCTAAGGTTTCCTTCCCTGAGTCAGCCCCTGCTTAACTCTAGAGAAATTTGTGTCCAGGTAGGAAGCTGTAGGTTTGACACCTTCCTGGTTATCTCAGATTATCAAAGAGTTCCCCTATGCATGGTGGCTGCAGCTGGTATAAGGGTGCTGCAATAATTGTGTGGAGCATCCAGCCACCGTTCCAGCAAGAGCACATGGTGGGTTTGCTGCTCTTGCCTCTGCCTCTGTGTCTTTCTGGCCCCATGGATATTCTGGTAACAGGTCACCAGCAAATTTAGTGTCATACAACTGACTCTGTGTGTGGCATCCCTGGGTAAAGGCACCGAGAGTTTGCAGTGCTGTGAGTCTCACAGATGCCTGTTGAAAGCTCTCGTGTCCCATCACTGAACCAATCTAACCTGCTGTTAATGTACTATCTTAACCACTTAAGATTAACTTAAGGTTAACTTAACAGTTAACCACCGTTCCCTACTATCCATGCTGGCATTTGGGTAAATTCTTTGCATCTAAAGCAAGAGCAAAAGCCATGGCAGTCCTGGCAATTGATCTGGTGTCCCCTCAGAAGATGAGTCCACCCTGAACCTGTTCATGCTGTTGCTCAGAGCACCGGTGTGACAGAGGGTTGTAGCACTTTTTTCCCCCCAATGAAGACATGTTTTTTCACCAGAAAAGAAGAAATGCTGAAAATAAGTCAAAAGGAGGTTCACAGATTTTTAAATCTGGATCATGTCACCTCACTGGGAGTTTCATTCAGGTATGTGTTGGGTAAGGAGTTTATTTTCTTTCTGGCTAGACAGGCAGGGAGTTTCTGTTGTGAGGGGCTCACGCTTAACTCTGGATGTTGGGGTAAGGATCAGCAGCTGGGAGTAGCTCGTATCTTACCTGACCAGGGGCAAAAAAGTGGATGCTGGTGCTCTTCCACTTGCTCCCCGGCTCTGGCCATGGGTAGGATCTAGGGCTGGTGGGACAGATAGTAATACCTGCCTGCATGTGGGGTTTTGTCAATGAGCATCGGTTTTATATGTAACTGTACGGACCCCATTTGACAAACCTCTGCAGAGTTGTTCAGGCTTTGATGTCTGGAGGGATGCGCTTTCAACTGAAGTG